TAATGACACTTATTATAATGTAGCAACTGTAGGAGTATTGAGAAGGTAGCACTGGACCCACTGAACATTATGCAAGAATGGGAGGGTTTGAAATACTAATTTAGGGAAAGAATATGGGGGAATTTGAGTATTTGCGCTAACTATACATAATTGACAAGAGTACAGGTAATACCAAATTTAAAAATGTGATTAGCAGGTTTATGAGATTTACAGCATGTTTACTTGCTGTAATTACACTAGTTGTATTAGACTTAATTGATATGTGCAAAGATACAGATTGCAGGTACTTAGAGTTCAGAATAGCACTCACAATAATAGCCGATTGACCAGTACATAAAATAACTTGCATATATAAAATTTGTTATGGTAATTCGTTAGTAATTGGAGACTTTAAAATTTTACACTGATATTAAATACTAATATTTTAAAGTTTTATACTGATATTAAATACTATTACGGCTATTAAGATAATATAAATATGATCAAGCAATCCTATCTTGGATTAAGCTTCTCTGTGCTTCATCTGTACATGTACATGTAATTCAAATACTATAACACGGCACATTTCACACAAAGAACAATAGTGTTGTTATAAAGTTCACACCACGCACTCTTAAAGATAATACACACAGATGTATGCACTGCACACGTTTTGCTTTGACGGTACTGTCTTGCATTTAATTAATTAATTGGCACACTTATCGGCAGTCGCCCTGGCTCGCTGTTATGGTGGGGATCGGTATAAAAACTTAAGTCCATAAAATTAGACGAAAAATGCGTAAAATCGGTTCTAGTGGGCCGATTTTTTCCAAACTTGAAAACTTGTAACTCGCATCTGATTAGGAGACTGATGTCGTTGGTATCAGAAATGTAGCGGTGTTGGCTTTGATGCAGCATTTGGTAAAACAATTGTCCAGTATCCTTTGTTGTGAATCCTCGCGGAGGGAGCTGTGCGATCCACGGGGGGCAGCTGGGAACCGGGCGCACGTCGAGTTTCCTTAGAAAGTCAAAGTTCATACAAACACGTGATAATTCATTAAAAAATCGATAATTAGCGTTCTAATGATCGCCGTGACTTGAATCATGACTTAAAATGTTCCGGAGGTTATTTCGCATCCGTTGATATCAAACCGTTTACATTCCTTCAGGCGACGGCTGTTCTGGATGGACAGTTATATCCACTATGTAAGACTCAGGCGATTCATTCGGGCGACGTAAATTTTAAAAAATCATAACAATTTCCATATTTGTCGTACGGCGATGAATTTTATATCTGCTTGTTGTTTGGATCTTCCGCTTCACGAAAATATAGCTTTTGTAGAGCTGGCTATTGTAGTACTGCTTATGCACGGGTAAAACGAGGAACTCCTGCAGTGCGACCTACTCATCCAGAAAAGCCTTTCTTTAGCCCACAAAGGCATAATAATATTGATATCTGGCGATTGTGGTATCCATGGTAGATGTGAAAGTTCAGCCTCGCTCTCAGAAAAACGGTAATGGGCGAGGCAAGCTGAATGAACAAGAGCTCTACCGTCTTAGAACACATCACCATTGGGAAACAAAATTTGTACCATGGGATCGTTGTGATCAGCCAGAATGGTCATCTAATTTTTGCGCAAGGTCACACAATATAATCTTGCACAGAAATGATGGATCCCATAAAATAGCACAATTTGGCTGATAAAACCATGAAAGAATCCCCGTCATGTTTCACTCTCGGCAGCAAAGAATCTCTGTCATAAGCTTGGAATGGCATTCGTCGGACGTCAGCTCATCCAGAAGTCGGTAACAGTGCGAAGCAAGACTCAAATGACCAAATGATTGTCATCTATTGCTCCACAGTCTAGGTTTTATGACTTTGGTGTCATTTTCTCATCTTACAGGCATTTTAATCACTGATGAGTGGCTTTTTATTTGCAGCTCTCCCCAAAGTACCCAGTTTATGGAGCTCCCTTCATATTGCTTTGGCGCTGACAGGGTTTGTGAGTACGACTAGTAAGATCTTCCATTTTCCTGTATTTAAACTCAGCTGCTTAGAAATTAGAGGTATATATGAACAAAGATTACATGATGCACTGTTTTTCTTTAGTAGTTGATTTTTGTTTCTATTTTTGTTTCTGTCTAAATAATCGTGCTATATAGAACTACAAATTTCCTTTTTTAAATATTTTATTACGTATTGTTACAGCGTCTAGGCTAGATATGTCATGTTCTAAAGGCTATTATTGATCAACGCTCTCGTAAATATTAGAATTAACCACACGAAGTTTTTCAAAAATAAATTTACATTGTTTATTTTCCTAATCTTGATTCTAAGCATTTCTAATTAAAATAAGTTAAAGAATTTTAACAAAGCAATTTCAACATTGTGGAAAATATAGTTCAGTAAATGCAAAATCCAAAATTTACGTGGTATGCGCAGAAAATGTTTTCTAATTAATAAAGTATTCATGTGCTTAAATGAGTTATAACCCATTATAGTATTTTCTTTACTTTTGCGCAATTTTTCAGCCACATATATTGAAAAACTACAAAGTAAATATTTTTCTTTTCAGTGATTATTTCTTTCATTCTAGACTAATAGTACTCTCTATCATTAATTTTTCAGCCGACCCCATGCAAATGCTATTTACGCACATCTCTGCGGATTTCATTTATACAGGCATAAAACTTCTATACTTAAATCTTCTTCTCATAAGAAATATTTTTTATCAAAAAGAATTCCTGATGTTCAGTAATTATAACCAAATTTTACATTTACAGGCGCCTGATTGTACCTATTTTTTACTAAATTCTTTAACTGAGAAACTTTGCTTTAAATAGTAATATCTACTCTTTTTGTTTAAGAAATAATGTTCATAACTGAACTTTTTGTACACACTCTGCTATACGTATCAAAGTATTAATGTATTATTCTTTTCGGATAAAGAACAACTCCTTTTTTATTGTTTATTCTGGAACCAAATGATCAACCACTTTATTCATCAACATTCTCACGAATATGTATATGTATTAGAAGGCACTTTTTTCCTGCGAATATATTTCCTCACAAATATGTATTAGAAGGTATTTTCTTCCTCCGTCCAGCATGCCTTCGTGATCGAGATCGAGGTTCGAGTCCCGGTGAGGGCACTGCTAATTTTTCCTGTACTCTTGCTTAAAAAAATCTGATGTGTACACCACATGACTTCCTTGTACGGAATGTTAAATTATACGCATTTTTTGATGCATTTCATTTAAACTTATTGGATTGAATTAAATCTACTTTCGCCGACAGCGCATAAGCCACAATAGAATAAATGCATTCTTTAAAATTCACTCTATATTTGTTTACCATAGCGACACTCTGGCGCTTAGCAGTATTAAATAAGTTAACTGTTATATAATCCAATAATTATATAACTGTTAACTTATATATTTCGTTCATATTATAACTCATAATGCACAACATTTATATCATTTAAAGAATAGAATTATCTAATCGTTGCCACATGTTCTATTCAAATACTATAATAAAGCTAGAGATGATGTATAAAGAAATTAAGCAAACAAAACAAAAAAGAAACAGTTTTTTTCACAGACGATTGAGTATTTCTCATTCAATTAATTCAGTTCTCACTTCGCGAGAAGGCAAAAATACATAAAACTCAAAATATCTATCTATATTAAAAATTACGAAAGTAAATCTTAAACACTTATTTCCTCGAAAAAAATTCCAGAAAGGATTAAGCATGATTTAATTGCAATAATAAATGAAGGCGTTATTTTTGTTGTTGCGAAGCTATGTTTCTCTAGATTGGCAACAAATCCACTATCTCTGCTGTTTCAAATGTAAACAATCAATGGCCGCCATCAAAAAAAAGGCTTAGCGGAACTTAAACAACTTTAAAAAATTGTGATAATTCTAAAATATTGCATACAGATTTACTAAAGGCATAAAAACCTTAACCGGAAGATAAGAACAACATAATCATTTTTAAAGCAAAAAATGTACAATTTACAAACATATAAGAGTAAAGAAACTGAGATCACTGAGCCGGGTAACAGAGTGGATATATATATATATATATATTTATACGTTTGGTGCGGCCGATTGCAACCAAAATACGAGGTGCACATCTACATGTTATAGCAGTCCTATATACAAAATTTCAACGTTCTGAGGCTACTCGTTTTTGAGTTATGCGAGATACGTACGTACGCACTACGTACACTACGTTCGTACACGCCACGAAAATTTCTCTTCAGAATTAATTTTAAAGCAGTTTTTTATAATTTTTTTGAAGGAAAAAGTCTTTATATTCTGTCCTTACGTACAGATATCACGCAAAAAAATCGTTAAATTGTATTCGATAGCGGTCAAAATGGATATTTTCGTTGAAATATGCTGCCTGAAACTTTTCGCGATTACAATACTTCCTTTTTACTTCTCACAAGGAAGTAAAAAAGACTCTACAGTGGCACACGTATTAAAAAGGTGGTGGACCACAATTTGTTACCACCTGTGTGACTGGGTCACCTAATCTCCAGTCGCCGTTTAAAAGGGGGGAGTTTCTCCCCCCTTCAAACATGCCTTTGTCGTATAACGGTAGCACAATGGACGCATTTTCGAGGGGTCCAGATTCGAGTCTCGGCGACGGCATTGCTCATTTTTCATGTGCTTCTATATACCCTAATGTTTCTATATGTTAAGAATTGAGATAATATTAAAAATACTGCTGAATCGACAGATGCTGATATTGTGGGAGAAAATGAATAACAAAGTCATGAAATTTTACGTAAGTGGTTTTAAGTGGGTTACGTAAGTGGGTTAAAAATTAACGCAGATAAATTTCGTTTAATAAAGTACCATTCTTATTGCATCATATCTAGTAAAGGTGTTTTGTAATTAGATTCAGGACTACATCGGTATTTTCACGTCACACTGCTATTAAGCCCCCAAGTTCTTCATTTTAAGAAAATGTACGTTTGAGTAAAGTAAGAAATGGCTTTCTACTTACTTATTTGCATCTTTAGCTTCAATAAGAAAGTCGCTTATATTCTGGCTTAGCTCCTCTATATCATCTAAAGACATATTCGCACTCGAAAAATAATATTTCTGTTTCGGAATCTGCGAAAAATATAAATAGCGCGTTCAGTAAACTTTAAATTTAAATTTCGTTAAATTCGTTTAAATTTAAACTTTAACTTTAAATTTAAATTCGTCTCTATACAAAAAATTGTATAGAGACGAATTTACTTTAAATTCATTCTTTAATATATTAACAGCAAATATTCAGCAGGTAAATAGAATTCATTGAGACTGCAATATCCATCGGATTAATATTATCACAAAACCTATGATTTCGGTAATTAGTTCAGAGAAGGAAACATTGGCATTTTAGTAAGCTTTTTATTTCATTTCATTACCTTCTTTTAAACTGATTCTTTTAATTACCGTCTTTTGCATTTATTGTTTCTCATTATTTCTCTCGATAAAGAGAATTAAGGAGTATTTGAAACTTCTCAATCGTCATCTGGTTTCTGAAGGTCCCGATACAAATAGAACATTGAATTTACTTTAAAATGTTTTATTTACGTTTTTAATAATTCCCTTTTTAATTATTAGTGTTATAATTTTATTTACGTTCTTATTTTTCTATTTTTCATTTATGACTCTTAAACCGTGTGACTTATACAAACTTTTACTGAATTCGCTCTTGATGTTTGTCACTGATTTTAAAAATACTTTCGGAGATAAGATACGGAGTTCAAATTTTGTACACACAATGGTTGGGAATGACAATAAGTTGTGGTGAAGCGAAGTTTTCAAAATTGCCTTTAGATGTCTTTAAAATTTAATACTGAAGCAAGTTTTCACACCTATCTTAGTTTAACAAACAAACTGAAGATCTCAGAAAGTCTTGCTTGCACCATCGGATAGAGCGGAAGAAAATCTTTTAACTAAAATTTGTATGAAATGTTTAACCCAAAATCGAGTATTTGGAGAATGTTCAAAAATTGCTCATTTTTTTCAGTATTTGAGGTCTATTAATTTAAAGTTTTAATGTTTAAAAGCGCATTGGTTACAAAGATTTGAAATTTTCACGATTGATAAAGTAAGCTCTTCTTTTTGTTCTAAAGGAAGAATGTTAAAAAGATATTAATTAAACAGTTTTCTATATTTAAAAAAAATATGCAATCATATGAAACTGAAGGGGAATTAAGCATTCTTCAATTTTTCTTGCTTTCATATCTTAAAATCAACAAGACTGATAAGGATGTGAAATTATTTGTAATATACATGTTTCTCGCTATTTCATTTTAAAAGTTAATTTTCCTAATTGTATTAGGAAAAATAATATTATATTCTTTTATAGGACTTTAAATTTTAACATCGAAAAATGTATTTGTTATAAAGAATTGAAGCCTTCAAAGATTATAAAACAAACTCATCCTCACCTTCTTTTGAAACAAAACCAATTTAAAAATATTATTTAGGCAACTTTCAAGAATTTTTATAACTATCCGCGTTTTTACAGTATTTTATTTAATTCGCTCTATTAATGTTTGTCACTATGGACAGAATTTGCCATCCATTTCATACTATTTCCAGGAATGCTATCAAGCTTAAGTTTTGCACACGCTTTCATTGAGGATTACAACATAATATGGTGGCGCAAGATATTAAAATTTAACTTAGATTGTTTAAAATTTAACGTTGGAAGTATTATTTGTTATATTTTCGTTTAAGTAATAACGAAAGAAAGCAAAAATTAAAGGTGTATTGTCCCCTTATGCAAAACTGTAAAAATTTACTGTTTGAAATACTGGATAGGGCGGATAAAATCTTTTAAATAAAGCTTATAATGAGAATTTAATGCAATTTCTGATTTTTGGCAAAATCGGCAGATGGTTTTGGTTTTGGCCATTTGATGGCCGTTTGAAAAATTTCGGCCATTTGGCCATTTTGAGTGTTAGAAACGTAAAAGAATGGTTATTTATTATTGTTAAATTTATTATTATTGTTAAATTATTTATTATTGTTAAATTATTTATTATTGTTAAATTATTTATTATTGTTAAATTGTTAATTTGAATAGTTTGACTGATAATGCGTCATTAAGATTAAAAAGACCAAACAAAAGGTTTTTTGCATTATCTATCTATAAATTATTAAGTATTTGGATACCTGTGATAAAAAGGAGAAGAAAATTTAGTCATGCTGAATACTTGGCAGAGCCTCCACGAGCGGCAATTAAGCCTCAACCCTCCGGGCATGCTTTCCGTAAGTCCTTTTATGACGGCTATTGGTATTTTCTTCTACTCGGCTTGTAGAAGTCTTGCAAGTTCCTTTGCCGATGCTGGACGGTTTCTGCACTCCTTATTTGTTAACCAACTCGTCCCGAAGTTCCTAGATAGAGTTCAGGTCTAGGATCTGAGCAGGCCATTCCATTCGTTTAACACCGTTGTGACCATACCATACCATGGCGGACCTCTGGCGTTGTTGTCTTAAAAGTAACATGGGTCCAGCTCATAAAACTGCCAGAACATAGGATTCATACCGAATAGTGTAGTAGATGTCAGCGATGATTTTAACATGAATTTAGAACAAGGGTCCCAATCAATACCAGAAGAAACACCCCAGGTCATAATTCGACTTATGTAGAAATTTACTGTGGGCACAAGGCATCCTGCCAGGAGCATTCTTCAGGCAGAAGCCAGACACAGATCCTTCCATCCAAGCTGTAGAAGGTGAACCTTGATTCATCGCTCCAGAGAATCTGTTTCCATTGAAATATGGTCCACTGTCGCCGTGCTTTGCACCACATTATCCGAGCAGCGCAATTGAACTTTGTAATGAAAGGCTTACGGGCGGCAATATGACCATTAAAATCAAGCAGATGTGTTTCCTTACGAATGGTATTCATCGAAGCAACACTACGGGTTGCCTGTTGAAATTCTTGGAGTATGTGGTGCGTTTTCTTTCGAATCGGTCGGGTACGTTTCTTTCGAATATCTCTGGCAACCCCATTGGTCTCTACCTCCCAGTTTCGTGGTTCTTACGACACTGGGCAAATTCTAAAGCTTAGGCAGGCAGACGCTCCTATGAGAGCCTTCCTAATTTATGAAAGCTATATTATGCTTTCAAATTAGGATTTCTCGGCTATTTTATACCCGTGTCTTAAGTTTTTTAGAGCTGTAACCTTTTACCACGGCCTTAAATTCAACTGTTTAAGACAAAGTTCAATTACCAACAGAGAACTTACCATGTGCACATGGAATGCAAACGGCCTCATCAATAAGATCGATGAGGTCAAAGATTTTATTGTAGTGCACGATCTTGACGTGTTATTAGTCCAAGAGACTCATCTTACCCCAGGGAGAACTCCCAAAATTGGGAATTATGACATGTACTCGACTGACAGGGTGTCATTAGCCAGGCGTGCAAGTGGTGGCACCTGTATCTACGTGAAGCGTTCGATTAAGCATCACATGATACCCCCTCCTGATTTAAGTATTTTGGAAGCGACAATTATCAAAATTTTCCTACAAAATTCTCCCCACTAACAGTCATCTCGGCGTACCTGCCTCCACTATCAACTGCACGTGGAAGAGGTACTTTTCCTGTCAGTGATTTTGATAAACTTTTATCATTATCAAATCACCTAATTATTGCTGGTGACCTAAATTCACGTCATACCGCATGGTTTTGCCCTAACAGGAACAGGTATGGCATTAGTCTAAATTCATGGTGCCAGAGAAACCATATACAGATCATAGCTCCTACCCTCCCGACTTACTACCGTACTACCCTGTTAGAGGGTCCCCTGCAGTTCTTGATCTGGCTGCCTTTTATAATGTCAATTTTAGACACGAAATAAAAGTGATTCAAGACCTTGACTCTGATCACTATCCAGTTTTGATCACCCTAGATATCCAAAATCCGTTACTCAAAATTACAGGAGCAAGTCTCTACAAATTGGGACGATTTTAGATTTATTTTGGAACGTACTGCTACCCCCTATCAAAATTACCAGCAATTCGGATTTTGACAGGTGTTTACTAAATTTGGAGTCCATTCTCAAAGAAGCGAGAGCTGCGGCTTCAAAACCAATTTTCTATCCGGGTGTCAGACTCCCACCTGAGACTAAATCCAAAATTAAGCAGCGGAACTTTTTGCGAAAACTTTGGCAAAGGTCGCGTGATCCCAGTATCCGCGCCCAATTTCGCAAAATACAGAACGAGATAAGGACTGAAACCCGTCTCTTCAAACAGACGGAGTGGAAACACTACATTGAGTCCCTAACGACTGAAGACAATTCGATTTGGCGGGCTGCCGCTCGAATACGCAAACAATCCAGACACATTCCGCCGCTCCAAACGGCCGATGACGCACGGATGGCTTACACAGACACTGAAAAGGCAGAAGTCTTAGCCGACAGCCTTGCTACTCAATTCACTCCTAATAACGACGCCTACTGTAACCGCCCGGTTACTCAAGGGCGCATACATTCACGTGTTGAAGAGTTTTTAACACAACCTTTCACGCCTGAACTTAGGCCCACTGATCCTAAAGAGGTGATGGAATACATCAATAGACTGAAACCCAACAAGGCTCCAGGCATGGATTCTATCTCTAATCGCATGATTAAAAATTTCCCTGTAATGTTTATTGTTTGGATTACGGTCCTTATTAATTTTATGCTAAGGAGAAGCTACTTCCCCGACCGCTGGAAAATTGCAACGGTCGTCCCCATTCCAAAACCGGGGCAAAATCTAAACTTACCCGTCAACTACAGACCAATTAGTCTGCTTTCCTCACTCTCAAAAGTATATGAATATGTCTTACTTAATCGCCTGAATGAATTCTGTCGAGATCAAAACTTAATCATCCCGGAACAATTCGGCTTCCGACCTAAACACTCCACGGTACACCAGTTACTACGTGTAGTGGAATTCATTCATGAAGGCTTTCGTAAGCGAGAGAATACTGGAATTGTCTATCTTGACATAGCTAAAGCCTTTGACAGGGTTTGGCATGACGGACTTATTTACAAGCTCATGCGACTTGGGTTTCCGGCTCACATCATTAAAATTATTAGCTCGTACTTAGCCGGACGAA